TAACTGGAGACGCCGATCGCGGCTTCGATCGTGTAATAAAAGAAAAGGAGCCCAAACATTCGCATGCAAATGGCTCGTAACTACAAGGGTAATAACCCCGGTGAGGAGGCACGATTCCTGTTGCAGGTCTACGCTTTCCGTGACGAGAATATCAAGGATTTCCGTCGAAAAAGCTTCCAAGTTTTACATCCGGGGGACACGTGTTTCGGGCCGGGTCGGAACCAGGAGGTCGTTATCACCATCGATCATGATCACCAGTTGATTGCAGTTCATCGTTATCATCGGCTATGCATTCTTTCCCGGATCTCACCGCAGACCCCCTATTTACCCGTGTGAATGCACCGCGGTCCTCACCGAAGAGAGAAGATAATAAATACATTTTGTTTTTGCGAGAAGGATTGAATGCATGGCCCAGGGGATGAGAGGAGCGGAATGAGAGGTTATTCACATCCTGCTGCTGCCGTCTGTACCGTCTGGTTGTGGCCCCCAAGGCTCGGGCTTGAATTTCTCCCAGTCCCAGTATAGGCCAGGCCCGCGATAATGTCAAGCTTCAGCTGGAAGTGACCGTTACGTGAAGGAGAGGAGAGGGGGGAGAGGGGGGGGAGGAGAGGGGGGGAGAGAGGGAGGAATGGAACGCCAGGAGGCTGACCTGCATACATTCCCACATAACTGTTACGTTTAACCTTCTCACCCAATACGATAGTAGAATAACATAGATACAGGGTGCTCTCTCTCTCTCTCTCTCTCTCTCTCTTTCTCTCTCACACGGGCCGAGTGCAGTATGTCACTTTCATGGTGGCCGGAGGGTGCAGGTGTGTCGAGTCATTCATTATTCCTTTCCCCTGTGCCTACTTCCGAGGCGGGAGGACCTCAATTGAGGAAGGAGTGAATAAGCAAAAAGTCAGCTGCAATAATAATCATGCAAATCCCCCTACTACGACTGTAGCTGCTATGGAACCGTACGACATCTAAGTCCATTCCACTTAATACAAATTAATAAAGGGCACAGTGAAGGAAGATCAATTTTTTTTAAAAAACTAGTTCATCCAAAAATGTAATAGAGAGATGGCGCTACTCCATGAAGACACGGCGCCGATGTATGTACACTAGCGCGGTCTCTCTTGAGGATTTTCGCGAAATTTAAATGTGCCACTCCGACTGTCCCGCAGTTGCCAAGCGGACATCGTAAACCCACTTCCATTTTTTCCATTTCCTAAAGCAACATGAGAACTTCCCTCGCATGCGAAGCAGATCGTCTTTTCCAGACGACCTCACGACTTTTCCCATGCCGAGATCATGACGTTCCTGTAACATTCTCGCGTTCTATAATGAGCCTTGTGCATGAGCTTTGGGGATATTTCACAAACGACTGGAGGAAAAGTCATGCATGTTTCAGGTGTGGAAACGTTTCATCGTTTTTCCGTGACACCGCAAGAAGACGATTATTTCGTTTGGCCTCTGGCTAGAAAACATTTTTCGTAGCGCTCAAGAAAAAGTTCCAAATGAGAGAAATGACAGTTTCCTATCCGCGGGCGAGTCTCATGCGATGATAGATTCCTTAAAAGATTCTTAAAGAATTTCAACGAATTTAAAATAAGTAATTCTTTTAAGCAGTTTTATATTTTTTCACAGATATTTCATGAAGATAGAGCTTCTTTAATAAAGTTAAAAGTTAGCGGCAACCACGTGAGACATTCGGTGGAGAATAATTAATGAATTTAACGATGATGAGTCCTTGTGCTCGTACAAGCACATACAGAGCATTTCAGCGTTCAGCAATCAACAGCATTTAAAGGAGAAGCCGTCCCCGTCGGTCGCCGCTGCGGGTTCAGCGGCCCAACCCCCCCCCCCCCCCCGGGGGGGGGGGGGGGGGTTGGGCGGGTTTGAACCCGGTTCTGGGGGGGAAGGGTCGCCCGCGGATAGGAAACTGTCATTTCTCTCATTTGGAACTTTTTCTTGAGCGCTACGAAAAATGTTTTCTAGCCAGAGGCCAAACGAAATAATCGTCTTCTTGCGGTGTCACGGAAAAACGATGAAGGGAAGTGTGGATTCGGGCTTCGAGGTGCTGGTGCATCAGGTTTCGCCGAATTTTGAGCACTTGGGTCGTCGTTGAGTTCGAGAGAGAAAAAAAATTACGAGATTCTGAGGTTCTCCTGACGAGCTCGCAAATATTTTTAGCCGAGAAATTTTGAAGATAAAAAAAACTCTGGGAGCCTGCGAGGCAATTTTGCATGGTAAAGAAAGAGCAGCCACGTTGAAACAAAGGAGCAGATCTGATTCTCGAGCATGTCCGTCTGGCAACCGAAACCGCAACCGAATCAACTGTCTTTATTGCGCGAACGATTGCGACGACAAAAGAAGGATCCGCGGCGAAATCGCTTTCAATTTCGTTGACGACTACGATGACGCGAAATAAAAGGCATCGATTTGAGGCGACGAACATGACTACGAGGGAAATGAAAAGGGATTTGAGGGACGAGATGAAAAGAAAAGCAACACGCCCTCGACCCTTTTCATCGTAAGGGATGAAATGCAACTTTTCCTCTTCATTCAATCCGATAACTTTGTGCACGGAGTTAGCATGCTAACCGAGACTGAATGAATGCGAGGTTCATCCGATCACGGATGAAATAGAGCTTATTGCTGCTTCAGTGATGCATGGAAGAGACTGACTCGTTGGCTTTTTTTTTAATTCTCAATATGCGAAAAAAATTATTAAATATTAAATTCACGGGCATGATTAAAATATGACTGAAATGGCCAGATAGCAACGTGTGCTATACTGGTACTACAATAAAATAGAATTACCACTGGATGACAAAAATGCGACCTGACTGCATACAAATTGCTGCAGATGACTAAAATTGACTTGATGAAGGGAACACGATCGAATGTCAAAAGTATGATGAACTAAAATGGAATTCTGCTGACTGACTAAGACTGCAAGCCAACTAGGTCCACTACCTGTCCAGAACCAGACCGTCACGGAATGGGATTTCACGGCAACATTCTTGAGTCAGCCCGCGAAACAGCGTCTTTAGAAACGGGAGGCTAAGAGGCGACTGATGATAAGCCAACCTCTATAAATAAGGCTCGTCGGTCTCGGCGAGTAAGAATGACCGCGGTCTCTGAGCGGACTCAAAGCGGGTCTTCGTGGGAGAACGCCACGTCATCTGCCGCCCATGGCAAGGGTTCGACTATGGGTACGTTTGCGAACTCCGTGAATGCTCGGACGTAAGCTCCAGTGTAATCCAGGGTAAGCCGTAAGCATTCCATCGCTAAGTTTTTCGACGTCATGGCTGCAGCCGACGAAGCGGAGGCTCACTCGTCGACGAATGTCAGCCGCGATTACAGAATAGGCAACAGAACGGACCGGTCCAGTAAGCTGCTGTGCGGCCGCTCGATACGCTCCCAAAGCTTTATTCGCCGGCATTTGTGCCGATAACAGACTTGTCATGGCCGAAAGAGGCTCCCACTCGTGTGAGGTGACGCGTGTTGCGTGTTATAGAACCGTGTATTAGGACTACCGTATTTTTAAAATGTCCAAGAGCTGCTTTTGAACTTTCTGTTTTCCATCAAACTTTATTTTGAACCCTACATGGCATCTTCAGTAACTTACACGAGTGAATGTATCGAAGTTGCAGTATACCAAGTCGAGATTGGGAATGGCTCCGTGGGTTCCATAGTGTCGTTGGTATCTTTCAGTTAACATGAACATGTCATGTTTTGGCATCTTGGCACTGCCTTACAGTTAGACTCTCAACAACGGCCCTTATACTGTAGCGAAGTGGATTGAGGGAAAGAGAAGAGGAAACCGGGGCCTTCAATGGCGCCGAAAATTCTCATCCTCATTGCTCAGGCATTTGGCAAGTTTGTTTGCATTGCCTCATCTAGCGACCTCAAAATTTCGCTTGGTTTTTTCTGCACGTCTTTAAGAGTTTTCCTGCCTCGTTAAATCAGTGAAAACATTCTAATGACCGTTTCGGGCGATTAGTATGGCCGCTATTGAAATCAGATTGTTTTGCAAGTATTCTCCGTGAATTCTCCTATTCCCCACACATTTGAAACGCTAATCGATTTCCTGGTACGGGCTTGTGTACCAAATTTTATCAAGATTGCCCAAAACCTTCTTGGTCGTGTTTTTTTTTTCCCCACTGCGATGAGTATACATTACGATTCCTGGTGACACATTCGGTAACGGTTCTGGTTGGCATGAGGTCTTTCTGACCCCAACGTGAAACGATTACGATATTACATACGAAAAAAAAAAATTTTTTTTCCCTAGTGCAGATGTGGTACTCAATTGGGAAGGCCTACTTAAGCATTACCCTGAATCCCATGAAATTAAAAAATCTTATAGGCCCAAAGATCAGCGAAAAAGGCAGTCAGGAGTCTTTTGGACCCGACCTGCAGCTTCGGTTATTCCAGTTGTTATGCAGTTATTTCATCCAATTTACAGGTAAAAGCATCAGCGCTTACAACTACCGATTATTTGGAGCAGAGAGAAGCCCTTCATGTAACTTACTGAAAAGCATGACGGAAGAGGAAAGCAACTTTATATGCTTTTTCCTTAACGGATAACTCTGTATGAACTGAGGACCGAGGGCAAACTTACTTTATCACTGTCACGAGGAAAAAATGAGTTTCGAGAAATAATCGCTCCCCGGGGAGGGTATGGTGTCGCACGTTTTCGAATGCCTAACGGATTCTCGCAGGCGACTCCAACGCGACTCGAGTCTTGGTTATTCGCTTTTTGGGGGTTCGATCCCACGCGATTCTTACCGCGATGGGGTTTGGAGGTCTGGTTTCTGATTTCGATGACATGGCGCCGCAAACAGATGTCTGACTTTAATTATGGTTAACCGAAGTCCTAAAAAGGGATTCATGAGAAAGAGGGAAGACTGCAGTGAAAATAATGAAAATTGCGTGCTTCCCATCGAAGGTAAAAAAATATAAATAAAAATAAGAAACATTGTAGGACGAACACGTTTCATTCAGATCCTTTATCAACAACTAAGAAACACGTTATCACATCACTCTGGTCCCTAAAATAACAGAAAAGTCGACCGCCCCATTTATTCAGGACCATAAAAAAATTCAGTCATGAATGGACTATGAGATTCAGGTTTTCCCTTTACCGTGATAGTCTGAAAATATATATAGGAATTTAAAAAACATGGAATCGATACTGAAAGCGATACGAGTCCCGGATCCCCAGAAGCCATTTTTGAAATGAAGAGGAAGCAGGGGCGGCTCTTCCGTTCAATCTTCTCCCTTGTCACTCGGTCTGGAAAACACAACTAAGCACTCTATAAAGAATAAAATCATGGTAAAATGGAGGGTTCCGGTAAGAAAGTGGAAATTCGTGTCGCGATTTGTGCAAATCTTGATGATCGCGTCAATATTTGATAACATGTGCAGTGCAACGAAACGGATGAGGGAGCTGCTCTTTCGTGCTGAGAACTCCAAGAAGAGGAAAGCTCCTTAGGTATCAATATCACCACTTTGGCACAGTGGACAAAAGGAAGATGCTGCTGGAATACTGTCCCTGTTTAAGCGTCATACTTCTAATTTTCTTCGTCATTCCCCTTCTTCATCGGTGCCAGTGCCGAAACACGGGCACAAGTGGATGTCGCCTGGGTCTCAGATGTACTCTTTAATCGGTAGGTCAAAGCACTCGGCCCAGAACTCCTGCATGGAATGATAGAAGTGCTTCCTCACGCTGGTCAGAGAGTGATCTTCGTCCGGGTAGCTCTGAAAGTGAAAGACGGCGGGGGGGGGGGGGGGAAGTTAATTAGCTGTTGAGGCACTGAAGGGACGGAAGAGCGAAACTGGATTTTCGGACGGGTTACCTGCTGCCTGAAAAGGACATCCCCTTTCTCCAGGGCTTTGGAAAGCATCATGGACTGCTGGTAATGGACATTGTCGTCGGCATTGCCGTGAATGAGATAGAAAAACTTCCCTTGAAAGTCTTTCACTCTTCGCGTGAGGTCCGTTTGCTCATAACCCTCCTCGTTCCCGGCCGGCACCCCCATGAATCGCTCCGTATACGTTGAGTCTACATGGCGAAAAGATACCAAAAATTATCTAAACGTGGAAGAATATAATGAAGTTGAAGGAATCTTGTTACAATTGGTCGAAAACTCATAGACAGTGACATAACCTCCACTTCGCAGTTGGATACGAAAGGGTCAAAGAAGAAACCGCACTTACTATGTAGTAAGCAGCTCTGCTGCTTACTACGAAGTCTCGCTTAAGGTACGAGTTCGGGAAGAATCATCGAAAAAGAGAACAGTAATTAAAAGCTTTCCGCAAGTACACCGAGTAAAAAAAATAATTGTGGAAGTTCTGCTACAACAACTGCCCCGTTTTTTCCTGATCCACTTCTGGGGCCCAGCCAGGATCTCTTCATCGACAAGAAGGGGGAAAGGGGGGAGAGGAGAGGGAAAAGGAGGGAGAGGAGAGGGAAAAGGAGGGAGAAGTGGAGGAGAAGAGCAAGAAGGTGGAATGGAGGGGGGTTATATTTTCCGCGGCTTCCACCCACCGCCCCAACTACGTTGCGGTACAGGGCAAATCTCGATATTTGACTTTCTTCGCGGTGAGGGATAGACAAGCCAAAAAGTATTTCAACAGTCAATTCCAGCAGAAGAGATCATGGACAGAAACTACAACTTTTTAAATCAAGTTAAAATCAGGTTATGGTACGCTGTTTCCCTCGTCGCTGAAATATATTTTCTGAAGAGTATTGGGCCGAGCCGCGGGACTTCACATGCAACGCGTGTGAAACCTATACAGGCTGTCTCTTAGGACTTAGGAAAGTTTTGTCTGCCATGAGTGATCATAATTTGCCGATAGAACACGGTCCCTCCTTTTCCTGCGATTTGCCTGCAAGGGCCAGTGATGTCTCTGCCTAATCGCTTTAAAGGTTTCTACCATAGAGGAGCCAGTTTGTGACAGGGGCGACAGAGATGCCGCATTTGAAGGTGTTCTCGTCGTCGTCGACGAGGCTTTTGGCAGCCACGAATCCCCCGTAACTCCAGCCCCAGATCCCAACCCGAGACGCGTCGATGAACCCCAGTTGCTTCACCAGCTTCCTGTGGTAGAATGGTTTCACTTGAGATCCAAAGGGGGAAAGGCGGAAGGAAGGAAGAGAACGGGAGGCGTCCTTGCCTGGTCACGTCGATTTGATCTTCCACTTCCACGGTTCCCAAGGCTCGATTCAGGGTGAACAGGAAGTCGTTGCCCTTGAACCCAGAGCCCCTGCCGTCGATGGTGGCCACGACGATACCCAGTCGAGAGGCCAGATACTTCTCCCACGTGATGCCGGGGAATTTCTCGTCCACTGCCCGAGTGTTCGGGCCTGCATACCTGAAGGGAAAAAAGCGAGTCCAAGCATCTCTTCGGAGCGAGAGGAAGCCGATCGAGCGGAAAGAAAGTCGAGAGAACTGACGTGTAGACGATCATGGGGAACTTGTTCGTGGAGTTGAGGGCAGCCCTCGGAAGTAAAAGGCGGACATTGGCCGAGAATCCACCCTCGACTGGCATCACAAGATTCCTCACCAATGGCAAATCTTTCTCGGCCATCTCTTCCCGAATTTCACTGGACATTTAAAAGAGAAAACAAGGCTTGCCTTGTTAACACTTCCTGCTGGAGAAAAAAAAATGAAAGGAGAAAAATGAAAGCTGTGGGGAAAAAGGGGAGGGGGGGGGGGGTTATCAAAAAGATATTAAATCTAGACCTCTTCATTTCCTGGCTTTAATGCCATCGCGATCATGTGAAGGAAACCCCTATAATTTCTTGGATAATTGCCCAAAGCTTTCTTGGGTTCGGAAATGAAAAACGAACTCACTCGTTGTCCAGCCATTTCATTACAAGCTGGTGATTGTGGCTGAGGAAGACGTTTGTTTCGGGTGGAGCCTGATAACTCATACAGTCGAGGGCATAATAAGAACCTTCTTTGCTCATTTCCACGTTCACGAACTTGCAAGGTTCCCCGTATTTATTCTTCATGCGACAGGACACGCAAACGTATCCATTCTCCGAGCCCGGTTTCTTCGCGTCCGCCTCGTAGAAATGATATTCCTCTGCCGCCCTCGCCTCCGTTCCCACAAAATACCTGCCAACATCACATAGATGGCTACCAATCGATCTATCGCAAAATGTAATGCAATCGGGGATGGTTTACGTACACTTTTCCGTCTTTCTCGTTCCAGTGAAGGATTTTGTCCACCGTTAAGGCTCCCGAAGTGATAGGCACATTTTGTCCCGTGTTTGCATCGCCGAGCACGATGTGCGGGAACGACCCGATTCCCGGCTGATCGACCGATCGAATGGCAAGGTATTTCGCAGGATTCAACTTGGAGAACGAGAGGGGTTGGAAGTTCTCCAACCACCCGTTCGGGACGATCGTTGTATGAATCTAGAATCAAACGCAGTTCCCATTTCATCCACTCCGCGAAAATTGGAGTCTCGAGGGGACAAGAGGGGAAAAGCGCTGTACCTGCTTGCATTGCCAAGTGGAAGCGTGGCAGATGACGTCGATGGAGACGTTTTGTCGTCGATTCATCCAAGTGATGGCCACCGTCTCTGGATCCGCCCAAGTCACCCGGGAGAAGTAGTGGTCCCTGCCAGATGCGAACTCATTTTCAAATCATCATCCAAGTCAGAGTGGGGAAGTGAAATCATCCGAACGGATGTTTAAGAATCTCCTTACACCGACTGGAACTCCCGTGGGGGAAGAAGACGGAAACTCTTGGCCGGACCGGTTTCGGACAAATCCACGACCCAAAGCTCCACCGTCGGATTCAGCCTGCCAGGCTGGAGGGATAAAGCGAGACGGGTGAGTTGCAGAAAACGCACAGCGCAGACATTATGTAAGGAAGGAGCGAAACCTTTGGATAATGGATGCTCTGGATGTCGGGATATTGCCAATGAGCTTTCAAAGGCCCGTAGATGGGATACTGGATCTCCGGGACGTCGGTGTCGTTGAAGGAGGCATATGCGAGGAATTTCCCGGTCGGGGACCACCAAGCTGCCTTATGGTCTGACAGGATCTCCTCTGCGTTCACAACACGAAAGCTCACAGAGAGGGGTAGTATGCCGTAACGCCAGGCTCAGACGCACATCCATAATGAAATTTTAATATTAGGACTCGAGCTCGCAATCCACCAGGCATTTTTTTAATTATACCAGAAAGTCAGAAAAGGATTATTGGAAACCTGGATTAGGGAAACAACGTTTCCATTCCCCTCTTGCAGATGGCAGCATTGCATACTTTAAAATTGAAATCGAAATTTTTTCTACATCTTTAAAATTCAAATGCCTATTTTCTGGAAGTAAATTTGAAGAAAGCAGTGTTTTCCGTTCACCACTCAAATCAACTGTTACTGAGGGTATAGCACAAATTTTACAATTCTGGAACTCAAGAATGTTTTCGCCAAGAAGTCCCGAGTCCAAAGAATCTAGTACCTGTACTTTCTCTGAATCCTCATTCGGCTGCATACTGTGACCTCAGCTGAAAGAGTCCTAGTTAGACGGAAGTGAGCTGGGAATCGAAGGGAAGGGAGGAGGGGGGAGGGAAGGGAAGGGAAGGGAGGAGGGGGGAGGGAAGGGAAGGGAAGGGAGGAGGGGGGAGGGGAGGGACGGGAAGGGAGGGAAAAAGAGGGACGAAAAGGATGATCTGGCTCCACAGGGGCCACCTTTGTGAAATTCTGGGTCCACTCCTACTTACAATGGTGGAATTATCTTCAACTGACCGATTCCTGCTTCAGTAGTACTCTGGATATTCAGGACATGAATAATTCGTGAAAACCGTTGGCGGAAAACCTGTATTTCCTGCCTCTCATCGGGGAGTTCAGAGACAGGACTTCTCCATTTTCCTCCATGGCATCGTTGACGACTGACGATAGGGAATTCTTGCTTCGAGTCTCTTCGTTATTTGACAGGAGAATGGGCGGGAATGTACCTTGGGGACCGCATACTGATCCCATCTCGGGATTTTTATAGCGGCTCAAATGTCAAGAACGGCACTTTGCAAAGCTCGGGATCGTTGGATCAGAAATTCGTAAACAACTTTATGGGCCGGAAAATACCTCTCCCTTCGCCCAGTCGACGCTGGCTATCACCAGGCTCTCAATGAGTGCAGGGTCGACATCAACGTCGTGGGCCAACAGGACGGCGTGCATACTCAATATCCAGAATGGTAGTGGACTCAGAAAAAAGGTCAGCTCATAACGATGGGGTACAATAGAAGGAATTTAAGCCTTCCTCCAAGGGTATATTCAACGAGATATTTGGTGGGAAGAGATTCCGAAGGCAATGATTGAAGCTCTTTTTGCCACATCGTCCAGCACCTTCTCTTGATTGAATCAACTGTATTGCGGCAATAAAGTCTCTGAGAGGATCATGTGCCGAGTGATTATAACTAAGTGATAACGGAGTCCAGACGACGTTCAATTTCTTTCTGTACCAGTGTTTAGTCTCAAAAGGTAAAACCATTATTCGTGCTTGGATGGGAGAAAAGAAAGCTCTGCAGAAGCAGAAGAAGCTCTGCAATATCAGACTTGAATTGGGCTGAAGGATACAGTACTTCTGTCGGTGGAGAGAGAGAGGTACTAACAATTTCCTGGGGTTAAACAGGACAAATCTGCGCGATGATCGCGCAGATTTGTCCTGTTTAACATAATTTGACCGCCTTGCACGTCATCAGTGGAACGGGACTGAAGGCATACCTTCGTAAACCCAGTCGGCGACTCCATTGAAGACCATTCCGGGTATTCCCGTGACGGTCAGCTTGAAGACCTTGTTTGCCTCCGGGTGGGGAACGTAGTAGAGGTTGTTGTCATAGACGAAATACAAGGAGGCTCCAACTGGGGCCCATTCAAGGGATTGAAGGAGGTCGGGAGATGAACTGTCCTCATTACCTTGTTCTTGGACTACCAAGGGAATCACGGCTCTGTCGAGAACACCACATACAAATCAGTCTCTTCGGGGTTTGTATGCTATACGAACAACACGGCTTTACGCATGGTTTTACGATTGCATTGTCATCGGCGTAGGCCTGCAATTGTACATTAAAGCCCGCCGCACAGGAGGCAATTTTTGTTGCTCTACCGTCGCACGACCGTCGCAGATGAGAACCCGCACACGGAGCAATCTGCAAGCTATTGGATGGGCAATGCGAACCTAAATTTAAGGAAGCTACCATATTGAGATTTTAGGTCGCAATGTGATTTGTCGATGCTAGAATTTCAGCGGGCCTACATCGCAGGACCCCCGCACACGTAGCAATATCACGTGGAGCGACGGTCGCGCGACGTGGAACAACAAAAATTGCCTCGTGGGCGGCGGGCTAAGACCGCTTCTCCCTCGTTATACTGTGTCTCTCAGCTCTTCAACCGACTCTTCTTTTTTTTTCGCTGATTCTGATTGCTTATTTTTCCTCAATGAGGTAGGGCACGTAAAAAGAGAACAATGAGATGAAAAGCAGCGGTTCCCAAACTTTTTACGCTGCGCCCCCCCCCCCCCCCCCCCCCCCCCCCCCCCCCCCCCCCGCCCC